GAGGAAGTGTCTGGAGAGAGGGACTCAAAGTGTTTATTGTCATGTGCACAGTAAGGAAACATGTTTCCTTGTACAATGAAATTCTTACTTTGTGGTCCACAACGAATGCCAAACAATACAAAGTGAAATATAAGGTAGATAAACAGTACACAAAATCTAAAGACACTTAAAAACAGCAAGTGGAAACAAATATAATAAAAAAAATATAAAGAATATAAGAAGAGAATGTATGCTACACCGAGGCAAGTAACTAGTGTTATTAACAGCTAGTTTCAGAACACATCAGCTGATAATTCCACCTGGTTAGGTTGAAATCATTAACTGAAGCTATAAGGCATTTCATTTGCAAGGACATGCACCCGTGTTGTTGAAAATAAGACAGTTCAGGAGGATTAAAGTGAAAAATGTATTCCAGCTCTGTATGTCAAGGTGAAACAGCAGCGGGAGGTTCACCAGTGCCCAATGTTTACCATTATTAAAAACACAGTAGACATGTTTTATTTGGCTTTTGCTGCTTGAAATACAAAACTTCTTTGAGGAAATACTTTTTAATGTTATACCCCTAAACAAATACTTTAATGTACATTCCCCGGCTACTTTATTAGGTACACCTGTGTGCAATTCAGTGCCTTAACATCTGTGTTTACGAAGCTCAAAATATTTCAGTTTTTGGTGAATTTGTCAAATTGTAAATTGAGATGCATATCTTATTGTGTGACAGGGAGAGATACACACCCCTACAAGTACCAGTGTTAAAAACATCCGGTTGAGTATTGTTTCAAGTGGACATTTTTGTAAACAAAGTGGGTGATACTAAAGGGGACTTGAGCTCATTTCTAAGGCTAAAGGGGTTTGAGTACAAAATAAAATTATGAACATACTGTAATACTTTAAAGCTCCCTCCTCCCTGACACAAAACACATTCTGCAAGTTGAATTTTCCTTATTTTCCTGTGAAACTTAATTCTATAAAATTGTGTATTCATGTTGCAGAACCATAAAAATGTGGAGCAGCAACCAGCGGCGCTACAATAACAAACTGTTTAAAGTTGATGGCTAAGCAATGGAGTGGCCTTTTAAAGCTGGCATCAAAACTAGACAGAGGACGGATTGGACTCCGGCCTTTATACTGACTGGCACAGACCGTGAGTTGCTGGCCGCTCTGTGCGACATTGTTCATGTTGCCAAGACTTGCTGAATCTGCTTCAACAAGACAAGCAGCAGCTCTCTGGTGACAAAATAAATTAAAAATCAAATCAAAGGCCCAGCCAGTTTAGATCATTTCACGTTAGGGTTGCACAAAATTTTTTAGGTGTTGTTATAAAACTTTATCGTACACTAAAGTGGAAAATTGCTTTTGGCTCACCAAAACAAACAAATCATGACCAAGTATCATGTAAAACAAGTAAATACAGACAGGAGATTGAGGCCAATGCAAACATTTACACACACACACTCACAAATCAAATGTCAGTGACATATACGGTATGGGGATATATTGTACCGCTGCTTGTTCATTAGTCTGACCACATTTGGAACAAATGAACCCTTACATATTGTAGCCAGAGGTGTCCTGCACCATCATCCTGAAGGTAATCATTCAAACTCAGGATAAAGGAGTGAGGAATGAGTGTTCAGAGTCAGTGTCAATGGACCAAGCTTTCCTGTTCACATCAGTGTTATATAACAATTCTAACAGTATTTGTCATCAACCTATACTTTTTCCAGAAGATTTAATTTCTTTTTATTTGCCACAGTCTCGTTACCATACCAGACTGAGATGTTAAATGCCAGAATGCTCTTAGTCCTGAGAGCAAAGTCTCAGATTAGCTTTCTCAGAAATAAAAACAATAGCCAATGAAATTTAGTTTGTTGTCACTGTATGTTCCCAGATACCTGTAACTTTTAACTTCTACAGACTGATCAGAAAACTAAAAGATACGACTTGATTACATTTGGGAAGTACGTAAATGGATAACATTAAAATAAAATGGGGGGGGGGGGGGGGGGGGGGGGTGTCTATACACACCTTTATAAGTAGCATTATTATTACTATAACATTAATCAAGAATCTTTGTAGAGTGAGTTGGACAGTCAACATATTGTTGTAGGTCAGGAGGGTGTGCTGTGAGAGACGGTGCGCTCAAGGCTTCCAAAATAACTAGCGGCTGATCAGGTGACTGTGCGAGCACAACACTGTAGTGATACAGACTAATCATGAGAAGAAAAAAAAACAAAATTCAGGATACATAAATGGTTTCTTAGATCCAGAAGGGGAGAAAACATTAAAACTGGCAGAGGCTGAAATATTACTGAACAATCAAATAACTCATACAAAGAAACAACAAGCATCCTCTCGCCACCATCATTAGATGTTAGAGGATTCATCTACTGAACGAGTCCTATTACATTAAAACACAAAAGTAACAGTATGACTTCCTGTACCCTCCCACCTGCTCCCAGCATTAAAATAGGCAACTCCCCTCAAATGCACAGACACAGCACAGACAGAGCACAGACAGACAAAGAAGGCTGGTGAACTTGACAACACACGAAGCACTTACATCTTCAGATTCAAACACATGACAGATCATCTTGTACTGTTTCTTTCCCTCGGGCGCCCCAGGTGTAGTTTCGATGCAGTCCTGTGAGGCTGTGCGTGGCATCCGGCGTCTTGCCATCAGGACCACAATGTTCCCAATATCAGCAATGTAGGATATAGTACGGAGTGCATTGTCCATCATCGTTTCCTGTAAAAAGAAAGAAAACAAATTAGCAAAATCACCCTTACGGTTTTTATAATACTCTACAGGTAAAGTTTTTTATAATATTCAACAGTAGATGTTCCCTTAATAAACTTTTTATAAATTGTAAACTACAAGTGATATATTCTAGGTTGTGAAACAAACGTGCTGGTGACAGCATAAACTGAGAAATTTGCACGCCACAATTGTACATTTTAGCCAACAAAATGAGGTAGTAATGCAAATTCTCCACATTGAGCTTGTGTTTCTCTGGAACAGGAACTCTATATATCGAAATCATTACTGGTTATTCTTCTGGTTCAGCCAACCGTTTCCTATAATATTTGAGAAGTACAGTACCTGTGTGCAAGCATATTTATTGCCTATCCTTGCCAATGCTGCATGGTCATTTTAGGACAGAGAGTGAGAAGGTATTGCTGATGGAAAACTACTTTTGACTGCGTTCCAAACATCTTTATAAACGGACCGAGTACAAAACTACTTGTTAAATCAGACGCAATGAAGAGGTGCACAAAAAGCTCAGACAATATAAATGCTTTATGGTACGATGCTAAATTTACTTTCAGTTTGGTTAACTTCAAGTGTGTCTGGTGGTTTTTTTGTGCTTTTTTTCAAACCCACCTTTAGAGCTGTTCTTATTAAGATTCAATGTCACAAACTACATACAAGCTGTGGCTAGAAAGGAGGTTTTTTACTCAGAATATCTCTTGCAGCAGTGCCAGGACCAGTGGCACCCAGATGGAGAAAAGAGGAAGATAGACACTGCATTGCAGCACATTATTTTCTGCCAGGCGGATGCCCACGCACACACACAATCTGCGTAGATAGCCAGACAGCAGCTAAGACTGAAATACTGCAAACAAATCATCATATACTGTAAACGGTTAACTGTTACTGTGAGCGCAAATCTGTTTATGATCTCAAGAACTGAAAAGCTCTCTGAAGCATTTCTGCTTCTATCAAAGACTCCACACAGATGTGTGTTGTAAAACCAAAAGGCACGAAAACTCCGGCAAAACTTCTGCAAGAGTGTAGAGAGGCTTTGTTAAAAACACTTGAAAAGATGTAATCTGACAGAACAAAGTGGGTTTATATTCATAAAGACCTTCAGAATCAAACTTCAGTCTTGTTGTAAAATAACTGAAGAAACAATGTAGTCCATAGTGCCTGTAATCAAATCTCTAATTGAGGACAGGTGTTGCAATTATTTAGATATTCACACTAAGATTCTTGATATGTAGACTTGTACAGCTTAGCGGGCGGCTGATATGTCAACGTAAACAGCTTTTGTCGTCACAGGTGGGAAAAACCAACATTTTGAACTTAAACATGATTTGTGTGTGCTTGGTGGTCCTCACCTGTGAGTCTGCATTGAGAACTTTGATCCTCTGGGTGGAGATGAACAGATCAACCTCAGTGAGGGTCTGAGCGTCTCCGTCCGCACTCTGAAGAAACAAACAGAGGAGTTGTTCAGATTGTGTTTAATTCCACTGGTTAAGATCTTCGCTATCAAACCAGTCAGTAGAAAACATACTGCCTGAATAGTGTTTGTGTCAAATGTCAGAAAGTCTTAGCTTTATCCAACATGCATATGTAGTTTAGGGTCCAGTTAGGTAAAAGGCCTGCTAGATGACAAGTTAAGTCTAAAGTTGAGTTGGAAAAGGTGAAAAAGAAAGCATTTGGAAGTGGTATAAATTTGTATCAACTGTTTAGGCACAAGAATAGCAGCTGGCAGGGAACCAAAAAACAGCACAACACTAAACCCTTACCAGCTGGCCGGTGTCACCAGTGAGAGCAGTGCATCCTCAGCACAGAACAAGCCTGTGCACATTTCCCCCTAATAATCTGTGTGCTGCACACTAATGAAATTAGATATTATTTAGTTTAATTAAAAATACTCCATGCTTTTAAAGTAAGGCAATAGTGCAAAAAAAAAACCCCAGCTGTAATTAAATATTTCAGGTCATCAACAGAGAACCATGTATTTGAGAACGTGGCATATTGCTTTCAATTCACTCATTAAATTTTATTTCTGAAATGCAAGTTTCCAGGGGAGCCTTTTGCCTGAGAACAGTAATGGACTTTTAGTTTTTAATCCAAGCATAGCACATTTCCTTCTTTAGCTGGTGTTAAACATAACCAACACAAAATTTAGACATGCATTAAATTACAAATACATGCAATACACATGCAATGCAAGTACAAATTATAAAAACAGTATTTCCCTATATGCGTCTTTGTCAGCAAAAACTGAACTAGGCAAACTGCCATTTCTGTTATCATTACAGTTATCTTGGTAAATTCATAATCTGAGGAAACTGTGCCAACAGATTGGTAGACATTTTTATTACTGTCGCTGAAAATCCTCCATATCAAAACAAAGCTTGTCAACGTTCAGCTGAAGAGAGCAAACTTAAATGCATTAAAAGCAGCTATAATATCACTTGAAAATGATTCCCGACTAAGAAAACAGCCATAAAGCAGGAATCAATTATACATATATGACCAAAATCCAAAAAAGGTGAAACAGCATGTATTTGGTATAAAAGTGTCATCCTGGAAAGGCCGAGCCCTTCAGGAGCAAAGATGGTCCGAGGACTGCCAGTTTACATATGTGTGGGAAAATTAATGAAATGTTTAAAAATGTACTTTCCCAACTTGTGTGGGTGGTTAAAATAGTCCATCAATTTTATCATTATACTCAAACATTTACAATCTCATGAAACAATTATGCGGTGTTACTGTACAGGTTAACACAGTAATAATGGCAGTGTATTAGAGAAACCCAAGCAATGATGCAGCCTGGAGCTTCTCTCATAGCGTCCTGCTGACGTCTTCTCTTGCCTCTGACGTTACAGTGGTTGCAAATAAAATCATGTCAGTGGGCTGTTACTAAATGTACTCTCGACAATTCCTCTGTCTTGTGCCTTACAACACAACTTTGATCAGCTCCTTTTACAAAAACATTTTATGATGTTTTTGGTTAAAATCTACCAGAGTTGCCAATATTTACCCGACATTACTATGAAATATATAGACAATCCTTCAGCGTGAGCACAGTCTGAAACATTTTACCACCACACACAGCCATTCACTTAGAACAAAAATCTGTAAAACCTGACAAAGACTTGTTCAACTTATTTAACAAACTTGTGCAAGACAAATGTGCAGGACAGGTGGGAGAGGATACACAAACAGAGAAAGGCACAAATGAAGTTAAAAAGAAAACAGAAAAGTGGCTTAAGGATCTTCTGCTCTGTTTGTTACACACCGCCTTTTTCTTGATTTTGGCAGCCTTCTGTACCCTCTGGCAGGCAGGCAGGCGTTGGGACAGGACAAGGTCAGTGGATACAAGAGCACAAAAACAGGAGGAAGAAATAAAGAAGGTAAATAGGGCAAGGTAAGACAGTAAAAGCTCAAAACCAAACAGCAGGTGTGCTATCGCTGCTCTCAGAAACAGTGACAGAGAGGCAGAAGAGAAGAAAGAGAGTGTGTGACTGTTTGTAAGCGTGGAGACAGCGTTTGCACAGCTGTGTTGGTTATCAGGTACATATCAAAAACAGCAATTACAGTCAGTAATAATTGCCTTTTCTCTTTTAAACACAGCAAATGAAAAGCATGCAAACAAATTTACATGGCTCCTTAATTCTCAACATCTATACTGTACATATAGTGCAGTTAGGAAGGTCCAGAGGGAGGGGATTTAGATGTTTACGTCTTATCAGTTTTATATTTCAACAGTCAGTTTTATATTCAGCACATTTACCAAAAAAAAAAAGACAGACAGCTTAAAAAGGCAATTAAGTGAATTCCGCTTGTGTGTACGGGCACTGCTTTTACCACCATCCTTGTTCTTGTCTTACCCGGAAAGAAAATAATCAGTGCTCATAGAGGCAGTGGAGGGAGCAAAGCTCCGAGCAAGGATTTAAACTGTGCTCTTGGGGTTTGTTCTCTGGGCTGCATCAGCAAATACAAAGCTGAGTCATGTGTTTGGTTAGTTCATCAGTTATTCACTTTGAGTGTTGCTGAACTTAGATAAATAATCTTTTGGAGGACTATTACTGTAGCACTTTGTAGTCTTTCAAAATCACCCTTTCTGTGCCTCTCTCCATCGGCTATTGACCAGAGGAAATTATCTTTTTAAAAAACCCAGTGCGAGACTGGATGTCTGCCTGAGCCACGCTGCAGAGTTCTAGCTGCTAAGACTAGTATTAGCAAAAACAACAGCAAAAAGAGCAGAGGAAACTGCCCAAAGGGATGAGTCTGTTTTAATTTTGTAGTTTCCTCTTCCTTGATGGACTTTAATGCAAGACATACAACTGAAGTGCTGGGGAGCTGAGCAAGGAGGGGATAGACAGCAGGAAAGAGTCAGTGGGGGATGAAGTTTGCATAAATAATACATTAAACAGAATGAACATCACACCAAATAGATCTGCATAAATAACCCACACCGTGTTGCTACAATGAACCTGGCATACTTCATTTTGGTCTATTCAGCACCACAGGGTCTAAAGTGCCTTCCTGTGCTTGTCCATATACTATATATATGCTGGTATGTGTTGATATAGAGCAAATACACAACTGTGACTGCACTGCATGTGCATTTGCATTTGCGTACACTAGACTGTGTCCATTTCAATGTCAAAGATTAAATGTCATTTGCAGTACAGCTACTCATTTGTCCATGAGGGCAAATCAAGGAGATAATGGGCGACTTCTTGTTCCAGGAACTTGTTCCAAGCATCAGAAGCACTAAAGGTGATAGCCAACTGTTGCCATGGTTTCATCCTGACAAGACATTTGCAGGGAAATTGTGCATGACAGAGAGTGAGTGAGAGAGGAACTAAAGACAGATTGGACAGATGTGAAATGATGCCAGAAGAGGGCTTTTAGACAAAAACCAGCCAACAGGCTTTTAGATCCTACTTCTGTCACTTCCTGTTATCTGAGTGCCCTCTGACTGGTTCTTAGCTCTTGCTGACAACATTAGCGTAGGAGTGTACACACTATACGTTTTCTACATGTAGCTAACTGGTTCTTAGCTCTTTCTGACGACATTAGCGTAGGAGTGTACACACACTATACGTTTTCTACATGTAGCTAAACTGTGAATGTTTGAAATATTTATGTAATGTGGACAAGAACAATACTATGCTACATTGTTAGTTAAAGCAGTCTGTTTGTACATAGTTGTAACTTAGATGCAGATTGGGCCATATTTTAATCCTATTTTCTTGTCACTGTAAGTGACAAGGACTATATCCCTGCCTCTACTAGATTATTTTTATCCACCATAATGATTGCTGCTACTTTATCAATAAACCATATAAAATAAAAAAATTAAATAGGCTTACATCTAAAGCGCTGCAATGTGAGAACAGTCTATAGTGCAAACCTCAATACAATGAAATGGAGACATGGACTATCAATGTCAGCACTTGCTCTTTTGTGACAGAAGAGATAACACTGTCTCTCTGTTATCATCTTGCAAATTCACCGGTTTAGTTTTAAGTTCTGAAATTGCTGCATAATGTTCATAATTATTCTATAAATGTCATTTTATCGGCTGCAGTCAACAGCCCAACAGGCTTCATAGTCTACTGTAGCCTACATACAGTAGGCCCATTGTGGTTTATTTTAATGAAAGTGTTTGTTGTTTTACTGATTTTTTTTCCACAAATCACATCCTGAACTTAACGTTACCAAACATAAGAAACCTGCACAATGTGGATAAAATAGAGACTGTGACCAAGTTTAGATCACAAAAGAGATCGTTCCACTGGCATGGACTAGAGTTCACTGAACATGGCTGCTACTGTATTTATATTTACATGCAGTTCTGATGTTCATTCATACTGTATTAGGCTTCTGGATACTGATCATGAAACCTCATCTAATATTTCAAACTGTTTCTAGGTCTCCTTTTTTTCTACTCGTATATCCCACTGGAAAGCCATACTCACGTATATCTATCTCCTCAGTGGCAAATCTCATTGCAGTGACTTTTTAAAAGTGTACTACTACGCGGAAGTCATTCAGTATTTAGAAATCCCGCTAAGCTTGTGTTTTATTCAAACAAGATCACCTGGCAATCCATCACTGAATAGTATGAGAAATACCTCCAAACTCAAGCTGTTTGTTTCTAACCTTACATACCATACAACCTATAGTGTTGCTGAATTCGCAGTGACATTTGTGAGAGATATGCCACAGATAAACTTTTAAAAATCACTGCTGAAAGAAAATAATTAGCTCTTTTTGTTATGTGCCGTTCGCACCTGTCAGTGAGCGAACGAGAAAGAGGCGGACCCAGGTAGCCAACTTCGATGCAAGCAGTGATTTTATTATGTACAGTGATGTCGGGGGTTTAGTCTTTTGGCGGACTGGAGGTAGGCCAAGTTCTTATGATTGGTCCAGACTAGAAAAGGTTGGGCAGCACCCTCAAGGAGGTGCCGCCATTCTTCGAGGGTGAGTTTGACTGCCAGCAACTCTCGGTTGCCTATGTCATAATTTCGTTCAGCCGGGGTCAAGCGCCGGGAAAAATAGGCACAGGGGTGTAGGCGTGGTATCCCTCGGACTGCTTAAAGAGAACCGCTCCCACCCCAGTGTCGGACGCGTCCACCTCGACCACGAACTGCCATGAGGGATCAGGCTGGAGGAGTACGGGGGCTGAGGTGAACCGGTTTTTGAGATCTTGGAAGGCCTGCTCCACTGTCCTGGACCATGTAAACTTCACCTTGGTGGAAGTGAGCTGGGTGAGAGGGGCTGCTATGGAGCTGTAGTTTTTAATGAAACGGCGGTAGAAGTTTGCAAAGCCCAGGAAGCATTGCAGGTCCTTCAGACAGGTGGGAGTAGGCCAATTGGTTACAGCAGTGATTTTTGATAGGTCGGTGCGGAGCCTTCCCTTTTTGATGATGAACCCCAGGA